TCATTATTTCTGTTTCTCAGAACTGTTCACATAACTGCAGTATGTATGTCTGTGGAGAATGCTTATCTGTGTCTATGTATCTGGCTGTTATATCTCTGTGTGTGTGTGTGTGTGTGTTAGGGTGTGTGTATGCATTCAGTAAAAAAATACTAGGACTGTGTGCTAATCCGCAGGACATTTATGAGTATTCTCATGCATCTGCACTCCGCTCGTGTGTGTGTGTCTGTGTTCGTGTGTGTGTGTTATATCCACACGCCCCACGTGAGGCAGCTGCACCACCGCTGTGGCCAGATAACCAAACGGGTTGGAAGTTACCATTGCGGCCGTGTGTTAATTAAAAGCCCTGCTTGGTGCACGGCATCCAAAATTATCATGGGCATCCTTCAATTAGAAACCTGATAACCTCCAGTCAACAGATGCACTCGTAGCCCACACAGCACTGGCCAGGGGAAGCTAACGGCTAACTGCTAATTACATGACCGACAGTATGGCCTTCGGCACAGGGCGGCTCAGTCAGGTCTAAAAAAACAGGCTGTTCAAAGTGTTGTAAAATACTTTATACACGCAGACCTGTGACCAAGTAACAGTTAAGCGTGTGCGAGGTTGTTTCTACCTCTGGTGGCCCTGCTGCAGTAAACAGGGGCTTTTATTTCAAGTTTACATGACTGCAATTAAATTGAACTAGATCAAATTAGCTGAAAGTTTCTTCTCATTTTACTTCACTCTGTCTTATATAGGCTTTTTGTGTATATAAAAAGGCCTGTAAAGTTTAAAAGCCCAAAAGGAGCTCCTCTACCACACTGCTCCTGAAACTCCTCATCAGTAGTCCACACCATCAGAGGACGGTCACACATACACAACAGTATCATCAACAAACCTTCACCTCCCATTCACATCCAATCTGTACAAGCGATGAGGTGAGTAAAACTTTTGCTTCCTGTGCAAATCTCAGGGTGGCATCGCATTGAGGTGAACTTTGGTGAACTTTGACCGGCTGCATTTCCTTTGCATGTGTGTGACCTGGCCCGCGTCATCTTGTATATTTGCATACATGACTCTGGGATAAGATCGTTTTCCGACTATCGTCTGAAAGTGGCTGACCAATCACAACAGACTGAGCTTTATTGGGAGAGGGGCCTTAAAGAGACTGTTAAAACATATGATATTTAAAAGAGCTGAGACATTCCACATCATGACAGCTTTAATTTGAGAAACGGATTTGACCCTGACAAAATAACATTGGGTTCAATTTGATTTTATAATGTCACAGTAGATTGAATTCTTTAACTATTCGAGGAAGAGAATAGCAGATGGAAATATTCTATTAAAACACTGCAAAAAACGTTTCAATGTTGAAATGTAACACTCGTTAATAAAGAGGCAGATTAAGCCACTATGCTTTCGTTTTTTATTTTACACAACCAAACATAAAGTGAGGTCTACTCAACAGTTTGTTTTCCATCTCACTGATGTATTTCATTTCCTGTCTATGCTGACCTAACAGTGTCATGGGAACAGCCAAACAATTATATTTGCGTGTTATTGTAAAATGCAGGCCACAAAATGCCAAGTAATAGTCACGTTTAGCTGCCAAAAGCCAAGAAGTATGATTTTTAGAATTAATTCAAATCTGCTGGCTGTCTTCAGTGACTAAATCTTCAGGTTTTGATGAGAGTAATCATCTCCGAGAGCCAAGAGCACTTGTGTAGGAACACTGTGCTGCCGTTTAAAGACAGTTTATTATCAGATGATTTTCCAGCAGACACTGCCAGTGACGGTTATGTGTTAAACCGGCCAGATGTTCCCACCATCATGCGGTGTAGCTCTTAATGTCTGACTGTCAAGCTCAGTGGTTGTTTGAGTCTGGGTCATGACTGTGGGTATATCTGCAGATCTATCCGTCATCTCATATCTGTTTATTAGTCAGCATATTTACTGCATGCTAGAAAGGAAAGCACCCAAAATAGGTTTACTAAGAAAAGGCCACACTGAAAGAAAGATTTTGGATCCAGTGAATTTGCAGCCACAATCTGTGTGATATGAGCAGCTCATGAAGCGGTCACCTCTGAGACTGTGTCTGAGACTGCCACAATCCAAACATGGAGAGTTCAGTAAATAACAGTGTGACCTTCCTAAAGATTTACTCAGCTGCTACCGATAAAATCAATCTTCAGGTCTAATTGTTATATCAATAACGTAAGTGTTGAAGATACTTTATGGGAAAACTACATTTACTGCCCTGGGATTGCATGCCTCCAGCAACCAGTGCAGTTTCATTCCACATATAAATAGTTTCCAGAGTCATATGAGATCCCGTTGACATTTGACCACTGAAATCTAATCAGTTGATCTTTGAGTCCAAGTGACAACTGGTCAAAATTTGAAGAAATGTCCTTAAGACAGATTTGAGATATCATGTTCAAGAGGCCAAAACGATATTTAGTGAGGCGACCAAAATCTAATCAGTTAACCCGTGAGTTTAAGTGAATATTTGTGCCCAATTTGCAATTATCTTGAGGCTTTCTCAAGATAATGCATTCACAAGGCAAAAAAGGTTCTTTAGGGGTCACAGTGAACTTTATCTTTGACCTACAAATTCTGACCATATCATTTTGGAGTTCACCTTTGACCACCAAACCCCAATCAGTTCATCCATTAGTCCAACTGAATGTTTGCAACAAATTAAAAAAAAATTTGTGATTCTTGAGATATCTTGCTCACATGAATGGGATGACAGACGGACGGACAACTGGAAAACACAATGCCTCCGGGCAGTGGCTGTCACCAACATGGAAACATAAAAAATCTAGAGGGCTGATTGATCTATCGATGACATAAGAGTTGAACATATGGGAGATGATGAATATGTTCAACAAAACAACAAACAAACAACAGCAACAGGTGGAGACAATGTGTTCGACTGATGTTTGACTACAGAGCGAAAGTAAATGCAGCTAAACGCACATATTTTATGTCTTAGCCAAAGACAGCAGAGCGCGGCCGCAGTCTGTGGTGATTTCACAGAAACTCATCGTCAACTAACACACCACAACTCCACACCACCTGTTTGTTTTTTACAATTTGAAAAAACGTAGATTCTGTGTCCATGCAGCTTCACTGATAAGACCGATTCTATGTGGTTTTGTACTTATTTTCATAATTAAACAGAAACTGGAGACAGATCACGGCTGCATATTCATTTTCATACTGTTTTCAGGAAGAGGAAGTCTTAATGAGCAGAGGAGACAATGACCGTGACACTGGTCGAAAGTCTATATGGAGAACAAATGAATATGTGAAATACCCTGACCATAAAATCTGTGAGTTCAATGTTCAGCAGCAGCACAAGAACTCACTTTACTGACACTTACCAGTTTCCCTCTCTCTTTAACACACACACACACACACTCCCTCCCTCCCTCCCTCCCTCACCCTGACTCTCTCCCCAACTTACTGTCTGTGGTGTCAGAGTCATTGCTGCTCGTTGAGTATTTTCTCCTCTTCTTCTCGCTCTCCATCTGTCAGGGAGGGAGGGAGGGTGGAATGGGGGCAAGAGAGAGAGGGAGAGAAAAATGACGAGTTAGAAGATGTTCACCATGAAAACACAAGTGTTAATGAAATAATGCGCTGATGGCACCAATCTGTCAGAGGCTCCAGCAGGCAGCCCGCCAGAATAAACTGAATTGATCGCCATTACATATTAACGCTTCAGACTCACAGGGAAGCTCACAACGATACAGTTGTTCTGTTCCTTCACATACAGTGGGAGTCCTTGTACAAGTCGAATGTGAACTCATCCTGCATTAGAGCTGTATTCACTGGAAGCTATTGTGCAAGTCCCCTTTTTATCCATCTGCTGCATTACTGTTGCTGCTTCGGTCTATTTTATAACAGACGACAAATGAATCAAACTCCAGCTTCTCTCAACCAGCTAATAACTCAGACACTGTTTGAAGCGCTAAGCAGCAAACAAAAGCGTTTTTTATAAAAAGGGACATAAAGAAATCTACTTGTAGGGCGAGGACATTTTTTTAATAGCCTCATTTCATTTATTTGCCATCTAATACTGAGAAAAACGGACAAAACTGCTTGTTCTACAATCCAGCTGAACTGTACAGAATTCAATTTGTGTAAACTGTGTGCAACGTTTTTTTCGTACAGGCTAAAGTGACTTGTAAAGTTTTCACTCACAAAAATACTTTTATGAAGAACAGAAATATAAACATTTGAGCTTATCTAAATGCTGTTTCATGAGGCAATGCATAACCTGAATTTGCATTTGACAATCAGGCACTGCTAAGTTCTTTATATTTTAATAATATAAAGAACTTGTACTGCCATTAATCATGATGAATGAAAGGTTGAATATAAATAAGTTATTGATTGTCTCCAATTATATAGGTTATAAATGTTATCGATACACGGTAGGTATTAGATCATGTCTATACAGTTTATAGGATGCAGAGATACATTAAAAAAGGCATTTTCAACAAAGCATGAATTCATATCCTGACTTCAGTGACTTCATGCACGACATCACTTATAATATGATAATTTATGATGGGGAATTTCCCCCATGTTTCCTCTTATCTGACAGTAACATGCAGAGAAACTTATTCATCACCAGAATGAACAGCAGAAGATTGTAAGGAAGCAAACATGGACGTAAACAAAGCAGTTATTTTCAAACTCTGCTTTGCAAATGTGTAATGAGAGAGTAATAAACATTAGATAGACTTTAAAATTACGCACTTTGCATTTTGATGAGCAAAACTGAATGCAAACGTAACACAGTTCAGTCAAAATAAAGCATCTACTGAATTGCCAGCCACATTTCTATGAATGAGACTCCATCAACGACCTTCTCAGGTGAAGAACATCAGGAGGTTAGGAGGATTTATAGAAAGTGATGCCTATTGAAAAGAAAATGTTTCTGAAGTAAGTTAAATGCCACGTGGAAAACCCCAAAACAGTAGTTCCTCACTTAACTTGCACTTAATTAAACTTTGTATTACACTTTTTTTCCCCCAAATGTGACAACGAGGTGTCTAGAAGTGTTGCACAGAGAATGCAATTTCACTTTGGTTCACAGACAGCAGAAAGCAAATTTTTATTGCGGAGGATGAGTTTCACTTCAGAGACAGAGAGAAGAGAGGAGGAAACTGACCGGAGAGGTGGGAAGCAAAGATGAGGAGCGGCTGTTTAGCATATAGATACCAAGAGAGTGTCTGATTCAATTTTGTGTCCAGAAAGGGATAGAGACAGTGAGACAGGGCAGTTGAGACTGAACAAACAAAGGAGATGTTAAGAGCAAAGAGCGGTCCAAGAACAAGTCAGAGAGACAAAGAGGGAACATCAGAAAAAGAGGACAGAGAGCGTCAGAGAGAAAAGGGTCGGAAATAAATCAAAGAGGAACTGTCAGGAAAAAGCTTGTTAGAAGGCACATATGGGACAAAAAACAGATTAGAGATGAGAAAGATGGACCTGGGTGAAGAGAAAGATGTAGAAACAGAGGCCTGACCGACTTATTTTCACATATGTTTGGAAAATAACACCATTACAATAATTGTTGCAATATCATTTTATCCCATAGCAATAAAACGTGAGTTCCGTATTGTTTTATTGAAGTCTTTGTCAATTTCTACCCATAAAGAATAATTCAAAACCCTGGCAAGGTGTTTAGAGATCAGCATCAGAAATGCCTCTGTCGAAAATGCCGGGTATCGGTGAGCACGTCGATCTATGTAGTGATCCGATACCTCGTCTTTAATAGCTTCACCTAGATAAAATGAATCGGTATTAAGGGAAAAATTGTATCAGAACATCTCTTCTCAACATCAGACTAAACTTGAAAAAAATAATGATTTGACATTCATCATCAAAAATTATTGGTATTGACTTATATGAACATTTTTATCAGGGTAAATATTTTGCCCATATTTTCACTCAAGAAAAAAAGACTAATCCGCACTTAAACGTACATAATATAACTTCAGCCACTAGGGGGTCTCTCAAAGGAAACAGGAATACCCTGATCATAACACAACTGAATAAACAGCCAGGAGCAATGACACACACCCGTTATCATGATCACCACAATTCTGGATTATGATTCAACATGGAACTAATCTTACTTGCAAAAACTTGGAGGTTTATTATAATAAAGTGCCCCTGAATAGGATTAAAGTAATAAAAAAAAAAACATGTCAAGGATGCAAAAAAGTGCAGCCTGAGGAAATGTTTAATCTCTTGTCCTGGTCGCTTGAGGGACAAACAAAGAAAAATATGTTGAGTGCGACTAAAAATAGGGAAAAGGAGGGTGAGAGTCTATCATGAGATTGTAAACCTAAAGACGCTGCAGCAGATAGAGTCAAAAAGTCAAAAGGAGGTTTGGGCGTACTGCTACACTGAGGTAGGAATTCCAGAAGAGGAGGTAGAGGAGGTGGGTTACAATCTTCAGCGTGGGGAACTGAGATTTATGTGGCCGTAAAACTGGGCTATTCCCTCGTATCTGGGGCTCTTCCAGTACCCCGGCCTTGGTGTGCTTGCCCCGCACACAGTTAACAACTCTGACATTTATGCTGACAGAACAACACAAGCGCTTCTTCGCCCTACCTCGCACTATTTCCATTCCCAAGTCCTGCCATCATACACTCTCAACTCTTTTCATCCTACCCCCATCCAGTCCTCCCCATCTTACACTAACAGGGACACAGAGAGTCCGTTGAATAAGGTTAAGTACATTATTGACTCTCTCTGCCTTGCTCGATTTTCTCTCTCTCTGTCTTTCTACCTCTTCCCATCTGTCTAGCTCTACCTCGTCGTCCTTCGAGGAGATTGGTTAAGTACATCATTGACTTCCTCCAGCTCTGTCTGTCTGACTTTAAGTCTGCACGCTTGGATCAGTCTCAGGGTTTCCCCTCGCCTATTAAACTCTGAGGCGACCCACTTAAACCACACTCAGGGTTAGTTTTTTTTGTTTAAGCAGCCCAGTCATTCTTATTCCTGACCACCCAAAGGAAAATGTGAACACAAAGTGAAAACTTGACATGACATCTTTTACGGATTCTTTACAGCAGTTTCCTGAATGAGTCTGTTAAAATAATTTCCAACAACAAAAGGGAGTTTTGTGGCAGAAACACAGGCGACGAAAACACAAGAAGCTTTGGTGTGTGATTCAACCGACTGAGCATAAAAATGTTCATCTGAAATATTCACTCAGGTGTCGGCCACAATAGTCTGTATTTATACCTGTGGCTGCAACTGCGGAGGGTTATTTCTCATGATTAGTTCAACAGAGCGGGAGCCCCATCCATCAACACGACATCGTTGATTTGTTGCATCAGATGTAAGAAACTCTCCTATCTTAAATCAGGTTTATGAAAACCATATATCACGACCTGTGAGGCATTTTAATGCTTCAGAAATGCCGTAAAAATGAATGCTTTAGTTTGTCAGACAAGCAATTTTAACTCCTCGAGATCCTCAGTGGCTGTGAGGGTAAGATTTGTCTCTTTTCTGCAACAGTGTTTCCTGGTTGCCTTACAAACGCCATCAAATATCTGAAAGAGCTTGAGGGTGGGAAACCTCTGGAGTCGCCGACAGACTGCACGACAGAGTTGCTGGTTGGTCAGGTGGTTGGTTGTGTGAAGTTGGAGGGAACAAGAGCATGAACTTCACACCAGTGTCAAGTCATTACAAGGAAAGTTTCTCACCCAGCACCTTTGCAGGTTTATTAGCATCTTGTGGCCCAGCCGGCAGATAACACGCGCAGTGATGATGTCAACGGTCAGACCCCAGACCAACAACGAAAGCTAACAGAGAAGAGCAACGCCAACCTGGCAAAAACAAAAGATGCACACTGTACTGCTGTCTCCAGAGCAATGGTCAGGCATTGTCAGGTGTAATAGTTCTCAGTTTCCTAAAGTCACAGACATGTTGGCGTTGGAAAAACAGAAGAGCGAATGATCAAATTCATGCCAGGTTTTTTACAAGAGGTTTTGCAACAGGCTCTACCAGGAGGCTTCTGCTCATAGGAAGTTAGGTTGACTCATCATATACTCAGGGCTTGGTTGTGTAAGGATCATACCTCTGCCAACGCCCAACTGTACCCTTATGAAAACCCATTTAATTCACTAGATCTGGTTCTGCACCAAATTACAAGACTCATAATGTTAAAGAAATTTAAAAATTATTCCTGGATTCGCACCAAAAATGTCTTCTTCTCTGACCCATACCACATCCTTCCACCAAGTTTTGTGTAATCCTGCTATCTAACAAAACAGACAGACAAACACAACCACCTTAGCTGGGTAAACAACAGGAAGCTGGTGTTGCAACGTCAGAATTGGTGGTATTTGATCCAGACTAACTTTTACCACAGGCGTGATAACTCAACTTCTAATTCGCTGATTCACATGTGTTACATGTACAGGCTGCACTTTAAGCAGAGGAGGCAGCACGTTGAGGTATCATGGTTCTGTATTGTGTTGCAAGATTGTGGACATTTCTATTGTGG